TTCTAATACTGTTCTCTGTCCCAAGTCAGAAATTTAAGATGACTGCAGAGAATTTAAATAGGTTTGAAAACTGAGCTTGACTTCAAATCAGTGTTAGGTTTACTGAGAAATGGGCATTTTGTAAAAGATATTATAAATTTGTGGTTCTCTCCTACTGAGTTTTCATTCTTGTTAAACTCATTTTGAATAGACAGCGCTGACCTTTTAACTCTGATAATATCAGTGTCCCTGTACGTTGGGAGGTCTGTGCCAGACATTATGGTCCTGGTAATAAAATGTTCTGCACATGAACAAAAAGGCAAGTGTTATAAATAGGAAATTAGCACCACCTTTCCTTTGTCTAGTTGCTTTAATATTTCTGTTAACACTAAACCAATATGTAGAACACCTTCCTGAGATGAAAAGGAGAACAAACTTTTAATGGCATTACTAAGGGTTAGATATAAAATTCAGATGCTTTGTAAGGACAATAAATATTTCTAATTAGTAATTGTTTTTCCTTTCTTACTATGCTTTTAAAAGAACTCTATATTTCAGAATGGGGATTAATCTTGTAAAACTTAATTTAAAATCAATTTTTTTGTCTCGAATCATAGAAAAACCAAACCATGCACCTGCTTACTTCTTTTTTCATAAAAAGGTTTTTAAAAAAATTATTAGCCTTTGTCCCAGACCATTCTTCTGGTGTGGCCCTGCAGGTCCCCTTGCAGGAAGAAGGCAGGTGCGTGCTGGCTGAATGGTGACATTCACTGTGGCTGTGGGTGAGTGGAGGACTGGGGAATGACTCACACCTTGGGAAACTTAAGGTTTTGGCTGATTCTATTGTGGAAAACTAATAATATGCAGTCAAATGTACAAATACCTCAATTACAACAGTTTGGGGCATTTATAAATGGATAACAACTTCTCGACCAAATGAGAATGTCTGTTAAATTGCATAAAGTTCTTCATCATGCTTGTTTTCCGAATTAAGTGAAATTCCAGTCGAGATTTCTGATGGACTAATGAAGAGATCAGGTTTCCTCCCAATGACTGGTTGTAGGTTAAGTATCCTAACAACAGAAGGAGGCAGGAAAAACTAAGGATCTCTAATAATTTTATTCTGTCAGGCTTTCTTTTGAAATGTGTACAATCAATCCATTTTGTTTTGTTGCCAGGGTTTTTTTTTATCCTCGTTTCTTATATTTCAAATAGTGCTGGCATCCACAACAGGTTATTTTTCAGTGCACAAATAAAGCAGACCAAGTTTATTACCTGTAAATGATGCAGGTTTGCATGAATCTCTTGGCGCTGTTACCACCAGCGTAGTTTTCTGTTATTCGTATTCCTGCTTCAATCCTTCTGGAACATTCCTAAAGGTTGGAACAGTGTTATGGCTTCCTTGGTGTCTTCTGGACCTAATTCTGAGTTTAAGTCCATGAGAAATGTCATGTAGCAGGTACTGTCTTCAAGGTTATCTTGATGTCCTGTTCATACTGAGTGAAAAAATTACTGGTTGCCAGTGAGAGGTATTGGTAATTTTTCTTCGGAAAGGTGCAGGCTGAGTTGTTGTCTGGTATTGGAAACAGTAATATTTAGCTTGGTTTTACAGGCGTACTGTATATTTTATTTTTAAAGGTAATGTGTTGCTGGTTATTAGAAACACTCAAGTGGTGTTTGGCAAGTCCCTTCAGATGTCAGTTATGAGATTAATGGGTATGGTGACAGTGATGCTCAAAGCCTGATGAACGCTCAGGAGAGGAAAACAGCTTTGTTGCCAAAAGAGCAAAAGCCACATCTGCTGACCCTGTTGCTAATGCACCTATCAAACCAGCTTTCTCCCAAAGTTAGGCAAAACTGAACATCTAAAAATGAGGGATTGCAATTGCAAGAGAGCTCAGCTCACAGAGCTATACTTAAGCAGGCAGGCTCTCTGGAGTATCCCAGTAATCCCCAAAACACTCCTTCCATGCTGCCATCAGAGACTCGCTGTGCACAGCAGTGCTTCTCCAAAGGGCTTCTCCTCCTGGCTGTATGGACGGGTGCACCGTGAAGGTGTCCTGCTGCTCTGGCAGCATGCTCAGAGGAGGTCATTTCCTGCCACGCTCCTAACAAAAATAAAGCATTCATGGAACTGAGGGTGGTAAAGTATTGAACATCTAAGCATGCTGGATGTGCCCAGAGGTTGCAGATGGTCCCTCAGTAACCAAAATTCAGAGATGTCACAAGTGGCTGAACAAACAAATATCACCAGTTAATGGTTAAGCTCTCAATTTACTAAAGCATTTGTTACCAGTTTGCCAAAGAGATCAAACAACCGTGAATCATAACCTTGGCTACTAATTAAATCCTTTATTCCCTTCCCTCATTGCAGAAATGTTTAATCTTGGGGAATCAGGACAGCCTGTTGTGCAGAATTAGATTTTACAGCATAAGTAGAAATAAGCTTACTATAAGGTTTCTTACTGGAGCTGGAAATGGGAAGGATTAAAATGAGAATATTAACTTTCCTTTCTGGCATGGAAGTTCATGTCAGCACTGAAAAATGATTGATGTGGAATAACTGCATTGGAAAATCATTTTGGTGGTGTAGTTTTGTTATTTTACTGAATGGCAAATATCATTTTTATTATCCGACTGCCTTTCCTATAGATGAGACTTGTCCTCTAGATAGAGAATGAGGGATTTGGTGTGCTTTACTAGTGACCAGCTGTCAAAAAGAAAAATATTTTACTCAGAAATAATGGACTGTGAAGAACACCCCAGAGGAAATGAGGCATAAACCAAAATACTACAAGCAGTTTTATTGCCATTCAAATATATTTCTATTTGTCAAAATATGTTTTTATGTGCTTTTATTTGTAGGATGTATAGCTGCATGATATCACACCTTTGATATTTACTAGCAAGTTAAGCAGCATTTACTTTTTTGGCTCCCATCTCCGCAAAGCAGAACAGAAAACACCAAACACTTTATTTGCCTTGGCTTTTGGGGAAGTTGTCTTTGTCCCCAGCAGCAGAATGATGCAGCACGGGGGTACTGTGAACTGGCATTAGGCTAACTGTCCGCTGGGAATTGATCCAAATACGCAGCCATCCCAGTCAGGAGTAGCAGATTTCCATTTTTATTACTCAAACCATGATGTTGCAGCAAGATCTGTGGGAGCAGGGCCTGGAGACAGCATCTCTAAGACATCTCAGTAAGGTGTTAAGAGAGGGGCCTCCCTGTGCAGATCCAGCTGCAGATTTGGTGCATAATTACTGAGGTACAGTCAATTTATATAAATACATTTAGAGGAGTAGTGAGCTGTAGACCTGTGGTGAGAAGTTGTATGTTATTAGCTTGAAAAGCAATGTATTTTATCCTGTATCTGCAAAAACCAATCTTTTCTGCCATCGCTAAACCTGAAGAATTTCTATAACAGAAAGAATGCACCAGAGACACAGTAGCTACAAGTAGAAAATTATGGCTTTTTTTGCTTCTGTTTTTGGCTTTGCAGAAAGCTGTTTTCCTACTAAAAGGTGGGAGTTTTCAGAAAGGGAACACCCCAGCCACTCCTATTCAGAGGACAGACATCCACCATTTGCACATACGCCACTTTAATTTGCTGGGGGAGATTTGTCATGAGGAAACAGCTGAATACTCACTAAAATTCCAGGTTATATTTAGCTGAAGAGGCTTGGGTGATACCAGGCTATATCATGCCAAAGACCCAAACTTGTATGAACTTGTACAGAACTTAATTATGACTTGTCAGTTATGAGATTAATGGGTATGGTGACAATGATGCTCAAAGCCTGATGAATGCTCAGGAGAGGAAAACAACTTTGTTGCCAAAAGAGCAAAAGCCACGTCTGCTGACCCTGTTGCCAATGCACTTATCAAACCAGCTTTCTCCCTCTCTCCTTAGTAAGTATGAATGGTGTCAGGTTCAATACAGACAGAAAGCACTGCAAAGTGACATCTCAATATGCTGGTCTATCAGGATTACTAATAATAATTTTATAAAGATAAAATGTCTGGAATATCTAACTCTGCTTTTGATGCTACTCCCTAAAGCCACCACTAAAAGTGTGTTTGAGATGAGCGTTAGAAATGCTAGATGTTCATGCACTTAAAAAAGGGAATAAGGATTGTGCTGTAATGTCATTGAAGCACATCTTGATAAGAGTAATAAAATGAGCAAGTTGAATAATGACCACAGGTTAAATGTTTGATTTGATATTTTAATGTTAAGGAAAATGCATCATTTTTGCAAGCTTTGAAAAATTTGGGATATCTGTTGGTCTTAATGCACTGTTTGAAAAATAATGTCAGATACTGTGGAAATCAGTTATTTCGAAGTAAAAAGGGCAAATTATTATTTCTTCATTCTACTTTCAGTTCATATGCAAATGCGTTTGTGTTTTTAAAAATCTTTCAGATTATTTTGTCTTTATATAAACTTAAAGTTCAGTTTGGGAATTCATGTGTAAGTAGATGTTGCGTCCAGCTACCACAAGATCATTTGGTTTGCTTAGGGAGTCAACAACTCAAAAATCTTTGAAGTGTTTTTTTAAAATAATTCTTTGAAAAACAAAGAATTCTTGTAATTGAAGAAACATTGTATGGGAACTGGGGGAGAACACCACAGAAATAAACAAACCTCAAAACTAAAAGCTGGATTTCTGGAGTGACTGTGTATAAAAACTTTTCATGGCTGAATATGAAGAAACTTGAGAGTTTGGGCTTTTTTTGTGAAAATGAAGCTGGGAGATGTGGTTAGAGGCTATGTGGACACCTCTTTTACCTGTGAAATGTATGCAAACCCAGCATAGGTCAGATAAAACCCTGGATTTTTATAGCCCTCTTGAAAGGTGAGGAAGGTCAATATAATGGTGTGTTGTACTCCCAGGCTGTAATCACAACTACTTCCATTACACATTCGCGTGTTAGTGAAGCATTTACTGCAGACTGCTATATTTGCTGTCTGGGTGGAGATGCTCTTTCACCCCACTCACCTGCCTCGTTTTTCCCACAGGCTGCGGGAACACCACCGCGCTGCAATTAAGGTGATTCGTAGGATGCAGTACTTTGTGGCAAAGAAAAAGTTTCAGGTGAGTTGCGAATAAAAAAACTCCTTTTCTAAATAAACCCTTTTATTCTCCTGATTCATTGTTTCTTTTAGAAACTTAAGAGAGACTAACACAATTCATTTCAGTAATGGTGAGCTACACCCACTATTCTCTCCCTCCTTCAATAGGGTGGTTGTTTCGCAGCAGGTTAGTCAACTGTGGATGCACTGGAAATAGGCTAAACTCCTGAAATGCAGTCTGAATTAAAATGTTATTTTCTGCTAATGGACTTGACCCTTAACCCTCTGTTATCGCTGTCTCTTTCTCGCAGTGCAAACATTCTCGTATGTCTCCATTAATTCTGAGCTGTATGCTGCTGTCATGCCGAGTCAGTAGGATTAGAGATTAAAATACTACCTCAGCCTTGTTTCTGTTCCTTACTCAGTGATAATGAAGTCCCGATAAGAAACCAGGGTGGAAATTTGTTAGTGTATCTGAAAGTTTCTCCTTTCTTTTCCCCTCTCCCTCTGCATGGGTAGGAGACCTCCTTCCTAGTTTATGAGATACTGGTTCTCTTTACTCCCCTGACCCTCACTGATGTACACTTCCTGTGTGCCACTTCACTTGCTGTGGTCTTGCATTGCCATAAGCATTTAACAGTGACCAATTAACCTTGTTACCTGGTCTGAATAAAATATTATCACTGCAAACTTTCTGAAAATCAATTTTGGTTAATCCGGTAAAAACACATGTTAACAGCCTTCAGCTTGATTTAAACCAGGTGAATATATATATATATATATTACTTACTTAAAATTAATGAATAAGGGACAATCTCTGGAGAACAGGCTTCACAACTGAAAATGCAAAGGAGGAGAGGGTCTTAATGGCCCACATCCATTATCATATATGGCCTCTCCACTGCTGCTTACAATAGACCAAAAAGCTTTCCCACCCTTAATCTAGACCTTCCAAAAAAGGGAGGGTATCCTTTTTCCTTCAAATATTAAGGGCACAAAATTTAGGATCCAGAAGGTGATGATGATGATGATGATAACAGTCCAATATATCTGTAAGACAGTGTTAGCTGCTATTTCAAACCCATGATTCTGACTTCATCATTGAAATTTAGAAGCAGCGCCTGAATTCTTTAGCAATTTTCTACTTTGAATACTTTCATTTTTATGAAAATTCATGATCTAATTTATGGCTAAGCTTGCCTAAGCTTTTTAGAAAATGTTTTCAGTTATGTATAATGTATTCAGACCATCACCATTTAGGCTGAAATCACCCATGTCCAGGCTTTTCTTGAAGAGAGCACTTTCAGAAACTTTCTGCTATCCCATTTCACCTACTTTTATTATTAGACTAAGGGTAAGTAAGGCCTAATGTCCAGACTACTTGAAAATAATATTCATAGTCATTTTGTTTAGAAGTTCCTTAGCACTTGCTGGCCAGCACTTGTAACTTGGCAAGGGTTGTGGCCCATTCCAGTGATGTTTCTACTGCTGTTGTGTGAAAAATTGCCTAAATATGGCCCCTGCCATTTAACTTTAATTTATTCACTTGATTTTGATCCTTTGCACTGTGGTAATTACTGGATCAGTGCTCTCATAAATTTAGATCATAAAATATTTGCCATGGTATTAACTAAACTGCTTAGAAACAAGAAATCTACATATTGTATATCTGCCTCCCAAGTGGTGTTTGTCAGAAACAGATTTTGAAAATACCTGAACACTGTGTGCAACATTATCCACCTGGCAAATAAATGAAACTCCCCTGCGGCAGATGATTTGATAGAAGCTGAAAAAGCATTTGACTGAATAGAATGGGACCATTCAGTTCATACTTAAAACTTGTTTGTGCTCAGTATCTCGGTTGCTAATCTGGCTTCTCAGTTGTACTCTCACTTTTGGATCTGCAAAAGACCTGGTCCTGGCCATCCACAAAATCCCTCAACAAGGTTGTCTGTCATCCTCTTTTAGCAGTCTTTCTTCTTCCTAAACGATCAATATTAGCTGTTACTAAAGAACTAAAAATGTCAGTTTGGCTGAAGCAGGATGTGTCTCAAATCGCTCCTGGGTGCAAGTGATATGCTGCTGTTTCTGTCAGAAACAGAATCTCCCAATAGGAATGTAGGGGGGTATCTGATACTTCTCCATAATTTCTGAATACAAGGTTACGACCAAGTTTAAAAATTTGGAGAGCACCAAAGGTACAGTTTTCCAAAGCACCTAGGTAACTTAATGCAAAAAGTCACCTTGAAATTCAAGCCACAAGGTGCTTTTGAAAATCTCTCCAGTAATTAAAGAGATAACCACTGCCATTACTCTTTCGTCAAAAGTATGTCGTAAATCTGCTTTGTTCTATTGTATGCACATAAAATAATCATAAGAAATTAAAATGTTTAAACATGTGCCAAGTAGTGACTGTACTGTTTCTAATAACCAGGCCAATGTAATACCTGAAATTAAGGTAAAGCAGAAGATGCATTTTAAAAATGTATCTTTCAGCATGTAAGGCACCTGTGTAGCTGTTTTCTGGGAGATACTTGCTTTCTAAGCGTTGTGTTTATGTGAAATGTATGTTAAAAAAATCAGATATTTTGCTCCTATAACTGTTGAAAAAAACCCAACAATCCCACAACCAAATTTCATCTGAAGTCCACTGGACTATTCATGCTTAAAATTAGCTGGAACATTAAGCAAGGCCAGCACTTTAAAGGAGTACTTTTCAGAGATGCCTGTGAAGCTTTTGAGAAGGGAAGCATAGGAAGAAGGAGAGGAAGAGGAAAATTTTGCAAAACAGGTCCCAGCATGAACCCAGCATGGTTCTTAAACTATACCAGCTGTTTGCAGGACACACCTGTATGCCTAAATTTGACTAGATACATTTTTTCAAAAGATCAGTTAATAACAGGGGATGATGGCACCACAAGGACAAAAGCCAGCTAGAAAGCAAAGCCTTCCTGTTTAAAAAAAAATAATATAAAAAAAAATAAATAAAAGCTAAACAGGGAAACCAAGAATTTCAAAGGACATGAAAAGCAAGTCTTTGTGAAGCATCACACTTGGGTATCATTTCCTCTCAAAAAAGCAGGAGAGAAATTTAGACTGTATTTCAAAGTCCGGTTTAAATATAGTTCTTATGATGATACCCATGTAAGAACCCAGTATACTATTATAAAGAAGTAATACTTTTTTGTGGATGTATTTATGTTCTCATAAAGCCTGTAGGCTGTTTCAAATTCTATACAAAAGGTCACATTCTACTAGTAATTAGCATAAGTTCTGTGCATCAGTTAGGTGAATGGCTTATGATTAAGGAAGGATTCCATAGATTACAGGGAAAGTAGACTTTGAAATTACTTGTTTTCTAGGCTTCATTCACCCCACCTACCAAAAATGAATTTTGTGTATTTGTTATAAATCAGATGCCTTAAACACAGCCTAACCTTATACCTGAATTTCAGAAAGAAAATCACCATACTCAGTTATTCCATTAGCTTGATTCATGAGTGAATAGCCTTTGTTTTCCAATTAGGAAAGTCTCTAAAAGTCTTAAAACTTATGCACATGTATACAACTGTGATAACCATTGCAGATACAGAGACCGAGAATTTGTTCTGATTTCTCATTGTCATTTGGAAATTTTTTTTTTTACTTTCTTTCCATGTAAATTCTTCCTAGTTGAGTAAATTATTTTCCTTCTAAAATACATTTTTAACTTGTGATGTGTCTTTCACCATGGCAAATATTCCATACATAGCATAAATTAAAAATACAGATTACAGCTCTACTGATGATGTAACTGTTGCCTGATTTGTTACAATTTCCCTGGAAAATCTTACATTTATAGTCTTGTAGTTCATCATCTTACATAATTAATTTGTCATGGTATGAATCATGAATTGTGTGTGTAATCATTTCTAATCTCCACACTGGGCTGTACCAAACAATGTACTTCAGTGTCCTGTGCTTCACAGGATGTTCTACCTATTTTATTTGACTGTCACTTGGTTACATTTCTCAGAAATTCCCCTTACCCAGATTCCCCTCTCCCTTTCTCAGGTATGCCTCTGTGCCCATCCAGTTGCTAGGGAACAGCAACAGCCAGAAGTGCACATTTAATATTTGGCATTGGCTTTTGTGCCTTCTGCAAACTTTCATATATGATAGGGGAAATTTTAACTCATTTAAGAAGAGTTTTTCCATGAGTGTTGGTTAATTAGCAGAGGAACAAAAGTAAAGAAGAGAAGAGGTTAAGGAAAGCTGTGGGGCTGGCTTCTATTTTTGTGTTTTCAATACTCATTCATTGCCTGCTGCAGGTTTTTTTTCCTTTTAAAAAATTAACATATGGTCAACATCAGGAGTATTTTCTCATGAAAGATCAGCTTTCAATATGAAGTAATTACAGAAAAATCAGTACTGACTATTAAATATCCTATCATACTCAGAAATTAGGCTTTTTTCATAAATTCTACTGACTCCAGGTTTTCAATTCACATTTAAAAGAGAAAGAAACAGCCCTGTAAATGATAAACAGGCAGAGAGAAACCTACTGTGTCTACTGTCAGGCTCCTGTGTGAGAGTACGAGGATGGCAAGAGAAAGCTCTGCCTCTTTATTCTTACTGAACTAACAGCTTTTCTTAACCTGGAGTTCTCAAGCTCATCTTTGAGATTTCTCTCTTCCCTATTTGTAGTACAAAAATAATCCAGAACTCTTTTTTTTTTTTTTTTTAATATCATCATATTTCTGGTGCTAGTCCAGGGAAAGATTTACAGGCTTATGCCATCGTTGAACCATATTTCTCTTTTTGTGGATGTTAGTTATGTGGGGATTCTTGGGAACTGAAGCTATTCCCATTCCTGTTTAGCCTTCCACTAGTGAGTATATCATGTTCATGCAAGGTTTGCAGGAATCTGACTGTCTGAAATGTAGTTTTTCTGATGAAGTGATGTTATTAAAGTAATGATTCCTGAAATGTGGAAGATACCTCCCAGGCAGGTGCAGGGGACTGCATGAAGGTGCCACAGCCTGTTTTTTATATTGTATACTGCTTTCCTTTGGCTTAGAAAAGAAGAATTGAGGAAAACCTGCAGTGTGTGAAGTAATCTAAAGCAGTGCAGAGATATATGCTTTTGAAGTACAGGTGACAAAACAGTTTTGAGACCTCAAATGGCATCCAGATTCTGGTATCTCAGAAGCTACCACTGTAAATTCTTTTTCTTGCTCTAAAAAGAGCAAGAAAGGAGAAGTTGTAAATCAGTGTTACCAAGGTTTTCACTAAACTTTGAAATTAGCTGCAGAATAGTTTAAGTTGGGAGGGATGTTTAAAGGTCACCTAATGCAAACCCCCTGGCGTGAGCAAGGACATCTTCAACAAATCAGGTTGCTCAGGGCGCCTTCCAACCTGACCTTGAACGTTTCCAGGGATAGGGCATCCACAGTTTCTCTGGGCAGCCTGTTTCAGTGTCTCACCACCCTCAAAGTAAAGAATTTCATCCTAATAGCTAATCTAAACCTGCCCTCTTTCACCTTGAAGCCATTCCCTCTTATCCTATCCCTACAGGCCCTTGTAAAAACTCTGTCCCCTTCTTTCTTAAAAGCCCCCCTCAAGTACTGAAAGGCCACAAGAAGGTCTCCCTGGAGACCTCTCTTCTCCAAGTTGAACAACACAACTCTCTCAGCCTGTCTTTAGGGAGAGGTGATCCAGCCCTCTGGTCATCTTTGTGGCCTCCTCTGGACTTGTTCTAACAGGTCCATGACTTTCCTGTGCTGGGAACTAAACAGCTCTGATTGCACTCTAGTTTCTAGATGTAGGATTAAGATATCTTTAATTTGTTCCTGCACTTTGAAATGTTTGTTCACTTGCTTTCCAGTTATTCCTGGTGTTTATAGATTAATAGTATTGCCCTTATCTTTAATTTTTAAAAAAAGTTGTTTCATTGCTAAGGTCAGATTAAGTCTTTCCCATGTATGCCTTTCAAATTACAGACACAGGGCTTTCTCCCTGGTCATTCCTTACACCAGTATTTCCCAGTAGCCTTGAAAGCTCAGCCACTCTTTCTGGAAGAGGAAATCAGTCATGCACCTTCATCAAGGGCTGTGCTTTAACCTTCCTATGGTAAGACCTGAACTGAGAACCCCAGCTGCTGACTGAGAACAGGGGCTTGTGCATGTGAAAGACCTCTATATTGTTCAGTGGCCAAGGAGTATGAACCTCGTTTTCAGAAGAAACCAGAGTGAGCACAGACTTCTGATCAAAGTGCCAGACCAACTTTTCTTGGCTCTAAGTTCTTTTGAGCTCCAGTTTGGTGGATAATCTCTCCAAAGGCATATAGGTCTGCAGTTAGGAAAAGGTGGATGAAATGAGAACTGTCAAAATCACCAAAAACGTGTGATCATGGCAACAATCAAAATAACTCATACAGTTATAATAACAACAGTGTTGAAAGGAGTTAAAAGAACTTACTGTTTACTCCTCAAAAACATCCACATTGTCACAGACCATTCCTACATCCTTGTGGCTTAAAGGCATGTTTTTTGTCTCTTATTTTACAGCAAGCCAGAAAGCCCTATGATGTCCGAGATGTTATTGAGCAGTATTCGCAGGGTCACCTCAACCTGATGGTGCGAATCAAGGAGTTACAGAGGAGGTATGGCCATGAATTCAGTGTTGGTATCCATAAATAGCAGCAGAAGGATGTTTATAAATCAGGCAGTGATTGGGGCTCGTGGATAAAAAGCTGATGGTGTTAAAAGTGTCATATTGGTAGGACTGTGCGAAGTTAGTGAATATAAAGTGGCATTTGAGTAAATATTTCTTTTCCCACCAGGAGGAAAAGGCAAAAAGCTTAAAAATCGGACAATTGGGACTTATATGTATTACCTCAGTTCCTACTAGCTTTAACTATACACTACAAGCCCTGTGTGTTAGGGGCAGTGTTATACCTAGAGAGTGCAATACTGTCACCAGCTCTGGTAGAACTGCACTTAAGAGCAAACTAAGAGATGACAGATAAGTGCAGCAAAAAAGCTGCAGAGTAACAAGGAGAAGAGGAAACAATGCTGATCACATGGAAAAGTGATGGGCATGGTGGAACTTTACAGTTGTTAAAGAAGCTATGGACCAATCTAGGTCTAATACCATTTTTTAGTTATTTTTTAAATTTTAATCTATTCTTAGCACAAAGTAATGGCTTCACTTACAGGATAAACCAGAATTATTTGAACTTTACTTTGCTTGTCTGTGAAGAGGCCTTCCTGCTCCAGCTAGAGAAAATGAAGATGCTGGTTCAGCTAATAAAAAAATGAAATTTATTCTTTTTGGTTAATAGGTTGGACCAGTCCATAGGGAAGCCGTCTCTTTTTATCTCTGTCTCAGGTAAGTTAATACAAAGGACATGTCTAAAATTAATCTGATAAAGTTATAATTAATGGAAAATACTTGTTAAAATACTTTTCATTTCATTGCTTAAATACTTATTCATTTTTAAACAATGTCAACCACTTGCGCTCTGAGGATTAGGCATTGGCAATAATATTTAGTCATCAACATTTCAAATTAGGGTTGTTCTTATTTAAAGCACCCACTTGCACCAAAGGTTTTGAAATGTTTGCTCTAGTCTGAGACTCATCATATTTTCAATAAATTGGTCTGCTAAGATCGCAGAGTTCCTGCAGAATTAGTAATATCCACATAGATCTTAGGTAGATTTGAAAAGAAATTGGAAAAGGAGCACAAAGGACTAAGTTTCTTTGTGGCAAATCTGGCTAATGAAAACTCTCTGTTTATGTCATTTGAAAACTCATTTTCTATATAGTTTATAGAGGGGGAAAAAGATAAAATGTCACCCAACGTGTTATTCCAAGTTGTCTGTAGAGTCCTTTGTGTAGTGGCAGATTGTTTTTAAGTGGCAATTAAAACATTAACTAAATTGGGAACATTTTTGTTCTCCCTGGTTAAAGCATAAAACTACGGTTGAACATGCCATAACTTAAGGGCTATTAAATGCTATGGCGTGGGCCAGTGCTATAAAAAGAAATAAAAACTACTTTTAAGGACTAGATCTATCAGCCTGGCAAAGGTATTCAGTTACACGGTGTTGGTGGCCTGGTTAAACACACCCTGTTGTGGCTAGCTGCTATTTTGTTACACCACCATATATTAAGTTGAAAATGTTTCTTGTTCCACAGAGAAAAGCAAAGATCGAGGAAATAACACCATTGGTGCCAGGCTGAACAGAGTGGAGGACAAGGTAAGCCTCAGTTGAACTGTCAGTGAATGAGGGCATGGTTTGTGATCGAACAGTGCTTGTTTCATAGGATGTGGAGGAAAATTCAGCTTAAAATAGAGTTGAAATCCTGGCTTTTTCAGGTGATGGAGCGTAATTTTTGTGGTAGATTGCATTTTTGGTTCTTACTTGTCATTTTAACAGAGTAAGACAAAAACAGACTTGAATTGATTTCAGTCTTTTTTGGGTCTCTCTTGGGGTTTTTATTTTTAATTGCATATATTACATATGTCTCAATGCTTTACTTCCTTCCTCCACAGTAGGTAAAAGGCTCTGTTCCTTTAATACCTCAGTATATTATGGTCCCTAAGATTTCCCTTTGATCGTTGCTCTGTTGTTTATATAAGTCCACCTACAATTCCTCAGAGAGAGAAATAGCAAACCTTGTTCCGTCCTGGTTTTCTTTCCTTATGACAAATGAAATTTCTCCTTTCAAGTGACGTGAATCCAGAAAAATCAGACCTGTTCTATAATCACAAATTAACAGTTAAGTGCTTTGTAACCCTTTATTTCAATGCTGGCTGTGCTTGAAAAATTAAATGGCAGGTACAGGCTATGTCATTTTTTAAAAATATAGGTTTGCCTACATTGGTATTAAGAAAAGAAAGGAAGAGTTAAGAGAAATAGTTTGAATCCTTTACTGATCTCTTGCAGTGATTTGGTGAGGGAGTGAAAGAATTTCTTTATTGCAGGATTATTTCACTCATGTGTCTGAACTTCATTCATTATTAAGGACTGAACTTTTCCTTGAGGAAAAGAGATTTCAGAGTGTTTATTTCACAACTGGAACTGTGATAACCTCACGAAGAATTTGTTCTGAAGAAAGATCCAACAAATATTCTGTAAACTAAAACACATTCCAGGGAATGCAAACTGAGCACCCTGATCTGTATTGATTCACTTGTGACATACCCCCTCCTTATGTATTTCTCCTTAAATACTTCAGATAAACTTAAACGAGAGTACTTAGAACTGTACGTCAATCTACTGGAAAGAATGGCATTTCAAAGGAAATGGTATATAGGGGGACACATAGAAATGGTGAAGTAGAATATAGGAAGGTATGGAAGAATGACTGTGCAGTGCTCCCTCAGATCTGTGGTCAGTATGTGTGCTTACACATGGAAGCCCTCTCCAGAAAGTTTGCATTACATTTATTTATTTTCTCTCCATAATGTCAACTAAAAGTGTGGAACACTAGAAAATGTCTTGTGACTTGTGACAGAGAGCGATGACTTTTCAGTTTGAACAAATAATTCTCAAATGACAGCTAAAGCAGCTTCTCAGTGCTCCAGTGAGCCTGGGAAAGCTTTGGTGTTGTACTGGCTCAGAGATAAGCTGCTTGGGGTTATTAATTGCTCTTTTTTACATCCTTACAAATAAGTACACCGTGAATTTATAGTGACCGTTGTTTTATGTTTTGTAATGGGACTGTAAAACACTCCCCGTATAATTTTAGTGTAGCAGGGTTAAATTTTAGCCTTGTTTTAAGTAACAGACCCTTCTTTCTTTGCAGTTGCATGAGGTCATCTGTGGTTTCAGAGCTGTATGTTATCTGCCCTATACAGCTAGTCCTATCTGCAGGAATTTTATCTGAAAGTAGCTGAAAGGCTAAAAATAGAGAATTTCAGTTGGACTCAGCAAACAGTGGTTAACATAGAAACACACTAGCAATGCTGAAATCACATTTTTGCTGCAGCTGTAGATGGTGGCTAAAGCTAATCTTTTTGCATTTTTACTCTCAGAGATTGGCCTTCTCTTTCCCATAAAGTACATGGTACATGGTATGCTTTCAACATAAAATTAAATCCTTCCTTAGCTGAGCACTATAGAAAGAGTATCTGTATCAGCTGTTTTTCAAGGCTATTAAATATTTTAAACAGTTTCATCTCATTTGGTTGGTGAATTAGTTTTCAGTCTTGGATTTTAGAAGAAGAGATTTGAAGTGCTGTAGGCTAGTGTCAGCATCTAACCACCTCTTGTGCATTTGAAAAATCTCCTTTTTGTCAGAGGAGGCATATGGACAGATGGCAGTACAGAGGAATGGCATATGAAGGGGACATTTTAAAATAAAATGCTTAAACAACAGTGTATTGATGGGAATTATGATCCTTTACGGCACAAATCTGACCTTTCAAGTATTGAAATCAGTAAAAAGTTGTGTTTTCTTCTTTAAATTTAGGAACATGTTCATTTAAAGTACATAGTTCTGTATTCTGTTCATCTAATGCACTGAGAGAAACTGACCTTGGGATACATGCAGTTTATGATCATTAATCTAAAGATTGTTTCCTAATATGCAAAAGCCAAAGGGATGAATCACTCTTGCAGGAGCCTTCCTGCAGATTCCTTCCCATTGAATTTTGCAATTTTGGCAAGACACTGAAAGGTGGTTTTGTTAATGTAACTAGAAACTGCACAGCCTGATGGGCCTTCGTGAGAAGAAATCACGATCCAGGGTGTAATCACAGCATACTTTGACTTTGCCATTGTTCTCTGTTGCTTGCAAAGCTGGGGGTAGCAAAGCTATGTTCTCCTCAAGGTGTATTGCCGTGGCTGAGTGCAGGCAGCTGCAGCCCCCGCCGTGCCCACAGCCTGATCTGTCGGGACACCAGCCAGCTGTGGTCCAGCAGGCATGTAGAGGCGGTAGTGCAGCGCCCAGGCTGAGCTCACAAACCCTGCCAAGTACCAATGGTCCAAGTCTGTGCGTGTAGATACATTGATCCAGCCCCTCAGAGAATGTTGTTGAGCAGGATTACGGCAGCAAATCAATTTATTTGCGGTGACCAGCCTTCTCTTTTTATCCTGAAACATCTGGGAATGACTATTCAGCCTACCCTCCAAGGAACCTGGCCACAGCTGGCTTGCTACCAAGCTCAAAATCAAAAACAGTTTTTCCAGATGGGCCCAGCTGTGTGTGCACAGTGCTCTTCATCCTCACACGGCGCTCTTCATCCTCTTACCGCAAGCACTGCCTGCCAGGGGCTTAATGCTGGGTGTGCCCAGCAGCTCTAGCCAGGAGCAAGCCCACAGTGCACTTGGGAAATTCTGTGTCCTACATCTCCTGTTTTCTTTTCACTGCACTAATTTTAGCTTGGCTATAAATGACTGTAATGCTAGCTTTTTAATTTTCAAATTAATCTGTTCTTTTTCAGCCTTTTGCCAACCATTAATTTAGCTGTAGCAGGCGCAGCTTGCACTTTTCAGGTAATCAGCCAGGCTTGTTGCTTGGCTGCCCTAAGGAAATTCAGTCTTAAATATGGGCACTGCACAAAATCATCTAGAATATGCAGTGAAGGCTAAAAGTGGCAGTCCTTGGACTCTCTCTGTGTTGCCTACAGACCAGACTGCCCTAGATGTCTGTAGGTCCTGCCTACAGACTTCCCAGAGTACAGTAACAGAACCCAGATTTACAAAAAAATGTTAAAAACTATTCTGAGCAGTAGACATTATGCTCTTTCTGTTAAGTTGTTTTAAAAATAGGACTTAACCTTCTGTAATGATTTGAACACTTTAAAGTTTGCCTTTTAAGAGTAGTTATAGGAATCCAAAGCAATTTTCTGGGCATCCCTTCTATATACTCAGAAATATTCCTCTGTCTGACAATAAGTACAGTCTTGATATCAATATTGCCAAGATCATAGCTAAAATATTTTTTAATAGTCTTTTTCAGTTACATGGAACGTTAGGAGTAGATGCTATCTGTTACTAAATTTTAACTGATAGAGATTTGAATGGAGATTTCCATATGTAGAAAAGGTATGTAGTAGTGAGACACATGACACCTTTTAATGTGAATCCAACAATTCTGCAAGATGGTACTAATTCCAAGCATATGCATGTTTTGCATGCTTACAGCTGAGAAGATGAACCCTTGTATTCTATTACTAACCCAAAGAGCATCATAGAGATCATAGCACTTTTTCAGATTTACTTGAAAAGCAGATAGCACCACTTTGTAAAATCAATTGAAAAGAAATCTATCACATGAAAACATGTACAGTAAAATAGATACTGTTGTGCTGTTTGAGTTACCTACTGGAAATCTGAACTGATACTGGAAACCAAAACCTTTTGAGTTCTGATTGTGCTGATTTGGTTTTCTCTCGTCTATCTGCAATGTCTTTGATTGTTAAACATATAGAGCCCAAGTGCAGTAGAATTCTAAAGATATGATATATATTTGGTGTATTTTTCTCTGTGAGTGCTGAGTATGGAACTTCTAAAGATAAATAAGTGCAAAGGCTTCGTTTGAGGTGGCTTTCAAAAAGTGGTGGTGACTTTATGTTGCAACATTTGTATATGTGGTATGACATTTTCTTCTAGCTAAAAAATTTTCTGAAATTGTTTCATCAGAGCATTGTTTCTGTCTATACATGTATCAGAAACCAGTTTGTCTGGAACGATGTTGAAGACAGTTCAGATGAACAGAATGACCATTGATAAGGCTGGGTCCAGTTTCTGGTTTTACTCTTGTTCTTTTCCACTTTTCTAATCAGCTAACAGCTCCCCATTGCAAAAGGTTTCATATCTAACATTTCTCATGTTGATTTGCTTAAAAATACATGAACTTGAGTTATATATTGCAGGGTGATTTCCCTGTAATGGTAATAGACTTGCTATTTTATTGTATCGAAAGGTAAATTGTTTAACTCCGTTTCTAATAATGACTTCTAGCCCATCCAAAGCAGAAAGATTTAGGACATATTACAGAGACCATTAAAGTCTTGGTAGGTCTTTCATTTGTTCTGATCTTATGGTAGCCTTGAGGAGCCAACATTTCGGTTTTCAAAAACACATGGTTTCGTGCTGACAGCTTGTTTACCTGAAAGAATTCTTCATTTGTGGCCAGTTTTCCAATTTTGTGTGAAACAACTGCATTATCTAACATAGGATCATACCATGGTGGGTTTTTTTCCTCTATTTTTCTGGTGTTCTGTAGCCTAGGAACAGTTACTGTGCTT